TCATTAATACAAATAATCATCACAGAATTTTCATGGGATGGTCTGGAATATAAGATACCAAAAATATAGTAATAGCTGGGCAGTGGTGCTGTGTGCCTTCAATCCCAGCACTCAGGAATCAGACACAGGTGGATCTCTGTGAGTTCGAGGCCAGCCTGGTCTACAGAGTGAGATCCAGGACAGGCTCCAAAGATACTCAGGAAACTGTCTCGAAAAACCAAAAAAAAAAAAAAAAAATAGTAACAATGGTATTTAAGTACTGAGTATGGCTGGGCAGTGGTGGTGCTCCCCTTTAATTCCAGCACTCGGGAGGCAGAGGCAGGGAGAATCTCTGTGAGTTCCAGCCTGGTCTACAGAATGAGTTCCAGGATAGCCAAGCTATACAGTGAAATCCTTTCTCAAAAAACAAAAACAAACAAACAAACCCATTACCTATATTAACTAACTTAATCCTCCTAACAGCCCTAACAGGAAAGCATGTTATTATTATTATTATTATTATTATTATTATTATTATTATTCCCATTTCTGGAGGAGGTTTTCTTGTTTGTTTATGATGAAGTCTCATGTAGTCTAGTGTAGCCGGAAGTTGCAGGACCGGGTGGGACAGAAATTTCCGGCTACAGTCCAAGCTGACTGTAGCTGAGGATGACTTCTTGCATCCACTTCCTAAGTGCAGGGATTATAGGCAGATGTCACCAAGCCTGGCTCCTTTTTTGGGGCGGGGGGTTGGGGTGGGGGGGTTCTGACAGGATTTGACTCTGAAGCGCCAGGTCAGTGCCAGGGACTTAACCCAGGTCTTTTGCAAGAGTAGCTGGCACTTTAAACCACGGAGCCACCTCTAAATCCCCTGCTCTGGCCCATTTGTCGACAATAAGCAAGGAACTACACTGAAGGTGATCTAAGCAGAATTAGTCAACTGAGAAAATATGGATTGATAGGGAACTTTTTTATTTGAAAAGTTAGGTCTTTCACACGTTTGTATGGTATTTACGTAATTGCCATCCCTGTGTCCTCCTCCTCCAGTGACTTCTGTGCCCCTTCCATTTCCACTCAGATTCACAACCCCTCCTGTAATTTAAAGGCAGGATTCAGAATAAATAATATAAAGATACGTCTTGCTGTGTAGCCCAAGGGAGCCTCCAATTGGCATCTTCCTGTTTCAGCCTCTCAAGTGCAGGGATGCCAGCACCAGCACACTTTGCTAAAGATGTCTTATATTATCCTTATTCTTGAGGATAACTAAGGACATAACGAATAGCATGGCACCCAAGCTTCCATTTCCTCATGACCGTAGAACTGCATCATTGCCTCAGGGTGTCCTCTCTCCCCTGGCCCCGGGCATGCTGGGCAAGCACCTCCCACTGAACTGTCCCCCCAGCCCTTGCCTCTTTGAAAAAAGACAAGATGCACACATATCCTTTCTTTTCTTCAGTTCTCCTTTTGGTTACTTGCTCTTTGTGCCACAGGGACAGCAGACTTCTGCAGGTGTGAGGGAACAGGAAAGTGTTTGGAGGCGAGGGAGGGGAGAAAGACAAGAAGGAGGGACCAAGAGTACATGGCAGGTGGAGGGGATACTTTCTTTAGGTTATGTTTTGTTTGTTTGTTTTCGTTTTCTAAAGTCTGTGGTCCATAGATTAGGAACTCCGTGAAGTTTTGCTTCAAATAATGAGAAAATTAACATTTCCTCCAATTGTGAATGTAGACAAAATCTTAGTGTTTTTCGCAGTACCTGTGACTTTGTCACCAATATGTCATAGCTTCATAGTGTATGACAGTTGTTTCAGATTTCTTTAAAAGAGTGATTCATTTATGACTTCAAAGTTAGAATGGTCATTCAATTATTATTAAAAGGCACCTATATTGCTCTAGTATATTTTTTAGCAATATTTTGAAAACTGGTTTTTTTTTTTTTTTTGGTAACAGTTTTCCAGGTCCTTGATTAACAACATGTACCACCATGCCTGTGCTAAAATTTTAGGGGCTGGAGAGATGGTTCCGAGGTTAAGAGCACATGCTTGTTCTTTCATAAGACACAGGCTTGGTTTCCAGCACCCACACAGTGGCTCCCGCAGTCTGTAACTCCAGTCTCTCCAGGGATCAGTGTCTAGCCTCCAAGGACACCGGGCATGTACACAGTGCATTTTACATAAACATCTTTAAAAAAGCGAAACTATATTTTAGTATAACTAGTTTTCTTTGGATTTCCCTATACCCCAGGTGATCCTCCTGGGATCCTAGATGCATTTAATATGATTTATAGAAACATTCTGAGAAAAAGTCTCTCTGTGACACTAAGACTGAAAAAAAGTGAAGACTTCTGATTTATGGGTATTTTCTTTTTTTTTAGATCTTACATCACATGTCTACTAGGGCCTAAAGAGTCCTTTAAGTAGCTTTAAGACCCAAGGCTCGCTCATAGTTTTCGTATTCGTTTTGCAATAGACTCTTGCTCCTCTGCCTTCATGCTGTCTCACCATTATTTTCATCCTAATTTTAGCTGTGTTTTTCTTTTTACGATTTGGGAAAGTCGATCCTTTAGCATGTCAAACTCGTCATCTGTGGATTGTTTACTCTCTCTTGTGTTATGGAATTCCTCGGGACAGCATTCATTTCTTACTGGTATTTGAAACTGAACAAATTAAAAAGTAAGACTCCCGGCTAAGTCTGGATGTTGTCCTGTTTTTCTTTTCTTCCTTCCTTCCTTTCTTTTTTAAAAATTTATTCTTCTCTCATATATTACATCCCAGTTTCCCCTCCCCCCTCTCCTCCCAGTCCCTCCCACCTCCCCTCTCCCCCAGATTTACTCCTCTTCCTTTCCCCTTCAGAAAAGAGCAGGCCTCCCAGGAATATCAAACAAACAAGGCAGAAACAGTTACGATGAGGCTGGGCACATAACCTAACACCAAGACTGGACGAGGCAACCCAGTAGGAGGAAGAGGGCCCCCAAAGCAGGCAAAAGAATCAGAGACAGCCCCTGCTTTGACTTTTAGGAGTCCCACAAGAACAGCAAGCTACACAACCAGAACATGTATGCAGAGGACCTGCGTCAGACCCAAACAGGCTCCCTGATTGTCGGTCTGTCTGTGTGAGCCCCTATGAGCCCTGGTTAGTTGATTCTGTGGGCCGTGTTTTTGTGGTTTGTTTCTGATTTTGTGACCGGATTTAAAATTTAAAAACTTTTTTTTTTTTTTAAATACTCTCCATGTAGCTCAAGCTGGCTCTTGGACTTAATACTTTTCTACTTTAGTCTCTTGTGCTAGAATCACAGGCGTAGGCCATCCCGCTTGGCTAATTAAATTTTTTTCTAGTTGGAATGCTTAGGAACGGTATGAAAATCAATATCTACAAAGGATGTGCCTGAGATTAAGTCTTTCTCTCCCTTGGTCTGCTGGGTAGTCCATTTCATCCCAGGAGGTAACCACTGTTACCACCTCTGAGAGTGATTTTTGACAATCAGCTCTCTCTCAATTCCTTCCTGGTCTGTGAGATGTGTGGCCTTTCCAGGCCCTCATGACCTCCAATCTGGTTGGCTTTACACATAAACATCTATATGTGGATATTTAATGGACATATACAAAATCTCTCTCCCTATGGCCTTCCGGGCCGGGTTTTCATCACATCGCTTCCTGGATGAAGAACCTGGAAGGGTGAGGGGCAGGGGTTGGGGGTGACAGGGAAGAGGACCTGAGGGACGGAGGCCAGGGGGTTGAGTGATGGACTGCTGTGGAGCACTGCAGGGATTCTTATTCTTATTTCTCCCACGAGGCCCCCTTCCAGCTCCATCCAGCTCAAGCCTCTCCTTTCCTAGGGCCGAGACAGAGATAGAGAGATACAGAGACAGAGACGCCGAGGCACCAGCATCTCTCCCCCCCCCTCCACCGTCCCGCCCCACAGCTCTGACAGACGTCCACTCTCAGCCAATGGCGCTCGCGAATTGCCCTAGACGGGCCAATGAGAGACAGAGGAGGGCGGAAGCTTGCCCGCCCCCCCCCCCACTCTAGGCTTGGTTGAGCCGTGCAGGTAGGTCCGGGGCCGGGGGAGCTGCCGTTGGCACTACTGCCCCGGGGGGTGGGGGCGCGGCGGGTCGGGGTGATGGTGGCGCAGAGTGGGGCGTCCCGTCCGGGGGACGCCGCGGGGGGCGCCGCCGCCGAGAGGAGCCCCGGGGCGCCAGGCCGAGCGAGGTGGGACGGACCGCGGCGGACAGGACGGGAAGCGGCATCCCGCGGGCCGCCCCCTCCTGAGGCAAGTCGGGCAGCGGCCCCGGGCTCAGGGCCGCGAGCCCCGGCCCCGGCCGCCCCCTCCTAACAATGGGGACCGGGCCGGAGGAGTCGCGGGCCGCGGGGGGTGGGGGAGGCTCCGGGACGAGGGTCCGAGGCGGGGGAGGGGCGCGGAGTCGCGCTCTCGGCGATGTCGGCCCCGCGGTTCTGTGGAGCTGGGGGTCGCGTCGCGTCGCGTCACGGGGTTGGGGGGGGGCGCGCCGCTCAGGCTTGCCCGGGAGTCGGGTCAAGAGTCAAACTCCTCCGGCCCCCACCCCCCAGAGCCGATGAGCGCTAGGCAAAGTGATGCCAAGTCTCCCTAACCGAGGTGACCAACGCGGAGACGGAGCAGACCCACTCCAGAGCTTTATTTCATTTTTAAAACGGGGGACCTCGACCCTGATTTTAAGAAATTATTTTTAAGGAGGTGAGTGTGTTATTTTTGTGTTCCCACTCGGGCTAGCCTCCATTTTAAGTGAAGCAGTAACTGGTTAAGCTGGAATTTTCTTCATTCAGGCCTAGGACTTAAGGCTCCTACAAGGGGTCATTTAGTCCACCCTTCTGAGTTCCTACAAACTTAACATCCTCCATCTTCAAAATGAATTCCTCTGATCTGCTTTTAAATATCTCCGGGCAAGAAGGGTCTCCCCCACCCCTTTTTTTTTTGCTTGTAGTACTTCAGTGAAGAATAGATATTATTATTATTTTATTATTTAATTATTATTTAGAATCATCTCTGAAACTTAATTTTAAGAAAAGTTAGGACATCAGAATTGTCAGAGAGGTTTTAAGTTTATTAAATAAAAGTAGCTGTAGACTTTTTCAGGTGGTTAGTTAATAAATCATCTTCAGTAGTGCTTATGAAATACTCTGGGAGAATAACTTTTCATCTGGGATTTTGGTTTTCTGAATCTTTGATAAGTAATTTCCGATTATTTAAAATTTATGTTCTCCTTTAATGTAAAATATTTCCACAGATAGAGATATACATATGCCCTTTCCAAAGGTAATTGTAAATTGTACCCTTTTTTGTTTTGTTTTGGTATCATCTCAGTAAGTAGCCTTGCCTGGCCCCAAACTCACTATATATACCAGGTTTGTGTTGAACTCTTAGGTCACAGCCTGCCTCAGCCTCCTCTGAGTGCTGGAATCAAAGGTGTGCACCACACCCAGCACTTGTACACTTTTTAGGATGGTAAGGCAGTTGGCACTTAACATCCTTCCCAGATAGAATAAGCTATTTATATATTCTAGATTATTTTCATCTAAATGAAAAATCATCCTTTTCAGATCTTCCCACTTCCTTATCCGTGGTAACTGAGGGAATTACTAAGTTTCTTCCTGCTTATTTCTGAGTCTCGTCTGAACTATTCCTGACACTATGAATGCTATTTGGATGCCTCTTAAGGTAAGATATATTGGCTTTTCCTTATTACTTCATAGTATTGTAGAATCAGGAATGTTTGTTCACCTATTTGTGTTTTGAGACAGGGTCTCATTGTAGCCCAGGCTGACCTGGAACTTTTTAGGTTGCTGAGCACGGCCTTAACTTCATGAACGTCCTGCCTCAACATTCCAAAATGCTAGTATTATGCCCTAGATCTATCTAGAATGTCTATGCCCCAGATCTAACTAGAATGTTCTTGAATTTGCTGCTCTTCACTTACCTTACAGGATACTCATCCTCAGAACTATTAGCTTCTTAGGATTTGTATTATTGCTGTTCTTGATTATTGGTGTTAAAATATTAATGAAGTTCTCAAATTAACTTTTATTATAATGGTGAGTTCATCTTTTTACCTTTAAATTATTACAGCTTACATACTTGTAAAATTCTGTTCCAAACCTGGTAGATGGGTTGGCAGTTCAGACTTCGAGGTCCATTTTCAAACAGGTACTTTAGAGTCATATGAACTTGGGTGTGTCCTACTTTTGCAAATCAGTAGCTGATTCATGTGTTACAAAAGATGTGTCATTAACCATTTGTTTACTCTGAAGTTTCATATAGTATATTCAAGTTTATGTGTACAACTCTTTGAATGCCCTAACTGCTCCTTAGGCCAGTGCATGAACCCTTACACTAATTTTTTTCAACAGGTAACCCATTGAAACAGGTCCTTTCTTTTCATAGGGTGGACCTTACTTGGGCAGGGTAGACATTGACCATTTGATAAAAAAGCTTTCCATGATGGTGGTTCTTTGTCTCTTATGGCTCTTTCTGATCTGTTGTTCAGAGATGGCCAAAAAAACCCTCTTAGTTAGGACTAAGCAGAGGATAGAGAGCTTAAGGCATGAGAGAGAGGAAGGACCAAGAACTGATAAGTAGTGCTAGAAGTCCTCTGTCTGCCTGGCCTTCCTCGAGAGTTAGAGAACAATATAGTTAAGATTGTTTGGTGTGAGCTGCTCCATGTAAGTCCAGAGTAGTGTAGTGGGTAAATCAGAATAATGCAGTCTGTGTAACCTAAATATTTGGACTTTTGGGAAATCTTTAGATAATGTAGACTGAATCTTACCCTCATTATGTTCTAGCTGCTCTTGTTGGATAATGAGTGCATATATTAATATAAAGGGTCCAAAGTGACACATTCTTTTCATCCTTTTGGAGGGCTTGAATAGGGAGACAGCCTGAAGTTCTAAGTGCCTAGGAGCTGGAGGACCTGTGTAACTGTTTCCACTTCTCTTTAAAAAAAAAAAATTATTTTTATTTATGTGCATTGGTGTTTTGCCTACATGTGTATCTGTGTGAAGGTGTCAGTAGTGAGCTCTGCCATATGGGTGCTGGGTATTGAACCCGGGTCCTTTGGAAGTGCTCTTTACTGCTGAGCCATCTCTCCAGCCCCCGTGTTTCCACTTTTTAACAATTGTTTTGTGCCAAGACTTGCTGACTTCTATGATCAGTATATTAGATTTCATGTTGCACTTTTCTTGGTTTTATGGTAGTGAATATATTGAGGGCTACTTTTTAAAGAGATGTGTGTAATGTTTAAGGTTTTACCTCTAATTGTTGGTAAATCTGGGGTGTTATAATACTGTAACCCCTATTGTTGGACCAGAGTTCTTTGGCATGGCAGAAATACAGCCAACAGTCAGTGTCTTTATGGTGTGTACAAAACATTTACTATCTGTTAACTACTTGAGAATGTAGTTACATGGCTGCCTTAGGTTTACGTTCCCTACCAATCCTTTGATCGGTGTAAAAATGTGCTAAGTCTAAACTGGTTGTTTTGAGATACGAGTCTTGCTATGTACCCTAGAATTCTAATGACTCAGCCTCCCAAGTGCTGAGATTATGGGCATATGCCATAAACTTTTTTCCTTCACATTTTCCTCCCATTTTTATACTTAAGAACATTTTAAAATTTGGCAGAAATGGTATTTTTCTGTATTTTCAGATGGAGTATATTTGTATTTATTTAATTTATTTATTTGTGTTTTATGTGCATTGGTGTTTTGCCTGCGTGTATGTCTGTGTGAGGGTGTCAGATCCTGGAGTTACAGACAGTTGTGAACTGCCCTGTAGGTACTGGGAATTGTACTGAGGTCCTCTAGAAGATCAGCCAGTGCTCTTAACCACTGAGCCATCTCTCCAGCCCTTTGTTTTTGTTTTTTGAAACAGTTTCTCTGTGTAGCTCTGGTTGTCCTGGAACTCTGTAGACCAGGCTGTCCTGGAGCTCACAAGAGACCCTCTACCTGCCTCTTCCTCCCAAGTGCTGCAGCAGCAAGCGGCCGCCACTGCCGCCGCCGCCACCACCACCAGCGAGTCACATTTTTAAATAAAAAGAAATGAGACTTTAATTAAAGTGCATATATTATGACAGAATGCTGTTTCCTTTTCTTTTTTTTTTTTTTTTGTATGGTGTTGGAGATCCTACGCAAGCATTATACTACTGAGTTTTAGCGTCAGCCCCTAAAATTTCTATATTTCTCATAGTTTGTTTCATTTACCTCATTTTACTCTAATTTAGTTAAAAATTTTACATGTATTTATTTGTGTATGCACACATGTACATGTGTGTACACTATGGGCCATAGTTTAGGTACTGTGTGGAGGTCAGAGGACAGAGGTCAACTTGTGGGAGTTGGGCCTCACCTTTCACCAAGTGGGTTTTCAAGATCAATCTCAAGTCATTAGGCCCAGCAGCAGTTTTTTTCCCTTTTTTCTTTTAACATTTAAAAAGTATTATTTTGTTTTACATGTGTGGATTTACATATGGTTCTAAGCCACTGTGTGGGTGCCAGGAAATGAACCCAGGTCTTCTAGAAGGTCAGCCCGTGCTCTAACCACCGGACCATCTTTCCATACCCTAAGCAATCATCTTTACATGCTGAGCTGTCTTGCTGGTCCCTAATTAAATCAAATTATTTATTTATTTATTTAGTTTTGTCTCTCTACCCCTGACTGGCCTAGAACTCACTATGTAGACTAGGCTGGCCTCATACTTGCAGAGATCCACTTGCTTCTGAATCCTGAGTGCTGGGTATAAATGCATGTGCTGCTACCCTGGCCTAAATTTTTTTTTTAATGTTTACTTATTTCTGAGTGTCTCTGTGTATATACGTAACTTACGTGGGGAGTCAATTTTCCTTCTGCCATGTGGGTCCTGAGGATCAATCTCAAATTGGCAGACTTGGCTTGCAAGTACCTTCACCTTTTGAGGAATCTCACCAACCTATTTCTTTTTTATTTATTTGGATTTTTGAGACAGAGTTTCTCTGTGTAGCCCTGGCTGTCCTAGAACTCACTCTGTAGACCAGACTGGCCTCGAACTCAGAGGTCTACCTGCCTCTGCTTCCCAAGTGCTGGGACTAAAGGGGTGCACTGCCACCACCCAGATTCCTTAATTTTTTTAAATATGTGTGTGCGGTATATATATACATGTTTGTGTGAGTGTGTGCATGTATATGTATAGGTATGTATACATATATATGCATATGGAGGCCAAAGGTCAATGTTGGATGTCATCTTCTATCGCCATCCATCATATTTTTTTAAGACAGGGTCTCACTGAACCTGGAGCTCATTTAATAGGCTTGGTTACCTGGCCAATGAGCTAGGGATCTTCTCATCTCCACCTCCTAGTGCTTGGGTTGTAGATACTTGCTGCTGTTCCTGGCTTTTTTTGTTTAGTTGGGTTTTTTCTTTTTTCTTTTTCCTTTTTTTTTTTGATTTTTTGAAACAAGGTTAAAATATTATGTCTTTTAACACATAAAGCATTTTGTTATGACTTATAAGTGTGTGATGCTGTTACAGTGCATATATGGAGGTCAGAGAACAAACAGTTTTCTCTGTCCTTGTACCTTTATGTGTTTTCTAGAACTTGAACTCAAGATGTCAGGCTTGAGTGGCAAGAGCCTTTCCCTGCTGAACCCTCTTGCTTGCTTTTTTAACTTTTTTTTTTTTTTTTTTTTTTTTTTTTTTTTTTTTTTTTTTTTGAGGCAAGTTCTCACTGTTACCTTGGCTGGCCTGAAACTCTCCATGTAGACTAGGCTGGCCTTGAATAGAGAGAGAGAGAGACAGAGACAGAGAGACGCTTGCTACAGTACACATGGGGAGGTCAGGAGAGAACTTTCAGGGATCAGCTCAGCTCTCCACTTCTTCGTGTGGATCCCCGTGATTGAACTCAGCCTTGGCAGCAAGCGCCTCTACCTTCTGAGCCATCTTTCCGGCCTACCACCTTCTTTATAAATGTTTTCCTGCTCATTCTCACTTCTCCCTTCTGGGTTCAGATCTTTTTTTTCCCTGCATGACATTTGAGTCACCTCATTATTCTCTGTGATTGCCTTCTATCTTCCACATCTATCAGAAGTGATCTGGTAAATGCCGATCTTATTGAATGACCATATCCTTTTCTACTGTGGCTGCTCAGCTTGCGAGGTGTAATTCAGTTGCTTTAGCCAGGCACTTGGATGGCCCGGATCCAGTCGTCTCACACTCAGAGTACCATGTGTTGGCAGTTCTTCTGTATGTGTACTCTGTTCCTGGCCTCTGGGCCATCACACAGGCAGTTGTCTTTTTTACTATTTCTTCCTTTTGTTTTTAAATGTTTCTGTGTGTCTTGTATAAATGTATGCCATGTGTGTGAATGGAGGCCAGAAGAGGGCATCAGGTCCTTTGGAGAGCTGGAGTGAGCTTTGCGAGCCACGCACAGTGGGTGCTTCTGGAAGAAGAAGAAGTGCTCCTAACTACTGAGTCATCTTTCTAGCTCTCTCCTCCTCCTTTAGTAACAGTTATCACAGTAACACTAACAACAACAGAAGCTGTCACTGTATCTTGTGACCCTGGTCCCTCAGTGTGCAGTGCTTGTACTGCTTGCTGTGGGTGTCCATGCCTGGGACATCTAATGTTGAGGGGCCACTAGTTTGCTTCTCTTTCACTTTGTGTAGTCCTTAAGTTCTTTGTGAGTGAAG